ATTGGAAGGGAATCTATTGTATTCTGAGTGTTTGCTATACTCGCTGTTTCTTTCCAAATAAAGTGCCCAAGGTTTCTTTCTGAAAAAGTGACCAGAAGAGTTTCCTTGTGTAGTAGTTGCCATGCTCTAGGTCTGGGACCAGCACTTGACTCTGAGAGATATCTTTCAATTTCTCAAAAACCTATTAAATATCTTGAGAACAATATCTGATAGAGACATCTTGCTATAAACTGACTAATTTAGTCAATTCCTCCTTTTTGGTAGGGTATAAATAGGAGAGAGGAAAACTTAAATAACACAGCTTTGACAAATTGGCAGAGAAAAAGAATGATGAGCAAAGGCCATTGACATATCAGGATGATGCTTTCACCAACTGAGCTACCTGGCCAGGGCCAAGCAAAGGCCCTGAGAGAGAAAAGCAAATGGAGAGAGAATAGTTAGCATCTCTAATAGAAGTAGACATACACACAATGAGTTGCCAGAAAGAAGCTGAACATCTTGGACTTCTGAAACAATCAAGACAGAGCAATGGAATTCCACTATTGAGCAGAGATTAGTTGCCATCTTATACTGAATGATGCTCTGTGTCTTTGTGAATTGTTTAGCACTGAGTAAGTGTTTTAAGCTTTATTACTTTCCTGCATAACATGACAGATCACGCCAGCTGAATTTACCCATGAATCTATTCATTTTACTCTTAAAGACCCTAAACTCAAAAATTACCCAGTGCAGTGGATCTCAGTGTGGTATTTCCAGAACAACATACCATCATCTTCATCATCTGGGCATTTGTTAGAAATGCATATTCTTGCACCACACTCCAGACTCACTGTATCAGAAACTCTGAAAGTAGGACCTGGCTAACAATATTAAGTCTTTTTGATTATCTGGGGTATACCAGTTAACTATTTTGACATGATAAACTATGCCAAAATTAGTGGCTTAAAATAATAGAGTGTCCATTTTAATCGTGAATCTGCAATGTGGACAAGATTTGCTCTTCTCAGCTCTACTTGTGGTCTACTGGAGTGATGTAAGTCTGGGAAATGGAACCATCTGAAGACTTCTTCACTGAAGGCTTTTAATACTGGTGGTTTGCTAGACCACCCACACATGGCCTCTTCATTTGTCCTGTGCTTTCTCATAACACGGTGAGTGAGTAACAAGCCAAAGTCCTGACAGAATGAGCATTCCCAGCTGAAGCAATATTGTGACCCAGCATCAGAAGCCATGTAGCATTATAGTCATGTGCTATATAAAGGTGTTTTGGTCAAGGATGGACTGCCTATAAGATTATAGTAGAACTGAAAAATTCATATTGCCTAGTAATGTCATACCCATTGTAATGTCATAGCACAATGCATTTCTCATGTGTTTGTTGTGATGCTGGTATAAACAAACTTACTACATTGCCAGTGGTATAAAAGTATAGCACATGCAATTATGTTCTGTATACAGTACTTGATAATGATAATAAATGACTGTGTTACAGATTTATGTATTTGCTATACTTTTTCATTGTTATTTTAGTGGGTACTCTTTCTACTTATTAAAAAGTTTGCTATAAAACAGTTATGCCAAAGGCAACCTCATCCATCTTGTGATGTATTATGTATCTCATACATCAAGATACCCACACATGTGGTCAGAGTAGCCTTGTCTCCAGAGTGGGACCACCAATAGGTAGTCTCCTGGGAAAATTCCACACTTGCCAGGAGGGGTGTCAAGCAGAACACCCATGTATCTCCCATAGGCTCCTGGACAAATTCCACACTTGGCATCAGGAATGCCAAGACATTTATTGAAAAGACTCAGAAAGGTAGAGTATACCACTTTCAAGGTATAACTGGAACAGGCTCTAGGCCACCTCTGAGACAGGTGAGTTGCACACACCAGAATGCAGCTCCATGCATGCAGATCTCCCTAGATATGAACTGCCGGAGGCTCTGCCCTGCTGAACACAGGACTTCATCTGCCCCGCTGCCCACCTGGCTCTGGAGATCCTTCCTTGCAAGACACTGAGAACTCCCTTGCCCGCTGTGCTGCCTCCCTGGCCTGCAGACTGAGACTCTGGGACTCGGGTTTGTTATTCCACATTGATTGCTGTGTGCGTATGTTCTATTTCTCTTAGATTGTTAGAGTGTGAATAGGATATTAATGTATGTTAATATTCTACTTTGAGTGGACTTGCATTCAATAAAACCTGTGTGAAAAGCATAGATACTGTGTGTGACTCTTGTCTATTCCTCGGTACTGAGCTGCTCAGCAGACAGCTGGTTGAGCAATTGCCTGGCTGACTTATAGGAAAACCTGTATCACCAACATACCCAATACCATGTATATACACTCTTTGATGTTTGTACAATAACCAAATCCCTTAAAGACAAATTAGATCATATCCCGATGTTTAAGTGGTGCACGACTCTACTTGCTTTCTTGAGGCAGTTATGAAGACCTTTTCATATACAATATCTCCTGATGGGGAAATAGTAAATCTGGAAGGGGATGTGGAACTGGAAATGTTGCTCAGATGAATTTTAGAACGTATAAGTTACTATAGGAAGAAAATGCAACTCTCCTAAATTATAGTGGGAGTAAACTGATACATTCTGGAGAAAAAAGTCTGGAGATAATGGAATGAAGTATATTAAATTCCAATGCCTTGAAATTCCCTTCTGGGGTATGTACTTCCAAACACTCTATTCTAGGTCCTTTAAGGTGCATGCACAGGGATGTTTAATGTAGCCTTGTTTGGGAGGGTGGGTGTAGAAGTCAGCCTAAACATTTAACCGTATCGATAAATATCGTGGAATTACACTATATAAAGTTAAGTAACACGCAGAAGACAAATTAGATGAATATACAGAATATGTTAGATTTTAAAAATAGTGTTTAGGGCTGGAAAAAGAAATTTTATGTTAATTTAAAAGTATTCAAACACAAAACAGCAGTAAATATTTTCCAAGATATATACATTTCCAAGGAATGCAGAAATTAGTTGGAGAGTAGATATTTTAATGTAATTTACTGTCATGTTAATTGCTCTACACATTATAAGAGTATAATAAGTAATAGTAAACATCACTGTATTTCTTAGTATGGTTCCTGAATAAGTTCAAAAAATTAACTAAAACGTAGAATTTATTTTATTTTTATTAAATGTATTAGGGTGACATTGGTTAATAAGATTATATAGGTTTCAAGTGTAGGTTTCTATAATACATGATCTGTATATTACATTGTGTGACTACTACCCACAGTCAAATCATCTTCTGTTACCATGTATTTGGCCCCCTTTACCCTTTACCACACTCCCACCTATTTCTTATGTTAACCACCACACTTACTGTTGTCTGTGTCTATGAATTTCAGTTTTATATCCTACATATGAGTGAAATAGTATGGTTCTTAGCTTTTTCTGACTGACTTATTTCACTTAGCATAATTTTCTCAAGGTCCATCTATGTTGTCACAAGAGGCAGTATTTCATTTATTCTTATGGCAGAGTAGTATTCTATTGTATATATGTACCACATCTTCTTTATTCAATCCTCTATTGAAGGACACTGGTTGTTTCCACATCTTGGCCACTGTGAATAATGCTGCAATGAACACAGAAGTGCCTATATCTTAGTGAGTAAATGTTTTCAAGTTTTTCAGGTAGATACCTAGAAGAGGAATTGCTGGGTAGTATGGTAAGTAACTCTATTTTTAATGTTTTGAAGAACCAGCCTACTGTTTTTCATAGTGACTGTACCAAATTACATTCTCACCATCAGTGAGAAGGGATCCTTTCTCTCCACAACCTCTCCAAAACTTGGTATTATTTGTCTAGTTGATAATAGCCATCCTAACAGGTGTGAGGGAATATCGCATTTTAGTTTTGATTTGCGTTTCTCTAATACATAGTGAAAGTTGGGCATCTTTTCATGTATTTGCTGGCCTTTTGTATGTCTTCTTGGGAGAAGTGTCTTTTCAGGTCCTCTCTACATTTTTTAATTGGATAAAATGCAGAATTTAAATGACTCCACTCTTTCTGTATGTAAGATTCACAGGAGTAAAATATTACAGAATCTTGACTGTAATCCTAGTGAGTTTTCTTTAATGTTGGTTGTTATTTTTTGTCTATATTTTAGTTAAATAAAAATATTTGCTAAGAAAAATTAAAGAGAATTTCTAGATAACTGGTTAATGATATCTACCTTTGTCTTTTCTTATTATTATTTTCAGCAATATTTTATTTTATTATTTTATTGTTGTCCACCATTTACAGTTGCCACCATTTCCCCCCCATTACTCTTCCCTGCACTACCCACCCCCCACCTCCCACATCTGGCAAACTGCCAGGCCCACAAATAAAAATTACAAATGGTATGGAGATAAAATTACAAATAGAAATGGTTCAAACACTATATGTCTTTCATGGTATGTGTGCATTGATGAATCGTAAATTTCTGTTTGGATACACACACACTTACACACACACACTCACACACACACAAAATATGCCACATTTTGCCATTTATAATGTACACCCATGTTTTTGGCCCAAACCTTCAGAAAAAAGTCTCCTGTTTTAATTTTTAATTCAATTATTTATTTATATGTAGATACCTGTTTTTTGTATTATAAAGGAATTTAAGCATTTATTTTTGAAAATACTATGGTACAAGAAATTTTGTGTAACAAATAATTACAAAACACAAGAACAGACATAAGGTACAAGAAACTTTCTGCACTGGTAACAAATTAGTACTATATATGTTTAATATGCATCCTTATTTTTCCCTCAAAAATTTGGGCGAAAAAGTGCACATTATACATGGCAAAATAAGGTGTGAATATGTGTGTGTGTGTGTGTGTGTGTGTGTGTGTGTGTGTTCAGTTTACATCAGGAAAGGTTAAATTTTTGTGGATTGGTTTTTAACATAAGAGTGGGGCTCTCTGTTCCTTTTTAGCTAACTAAATAAAATAATCCATATGTAACTTTTCTCTTTCAGATTCTGATAAAGGCTCCAATATTTGTATGTCTAGCTCTGAGCAGAGCTTCAGATTATTTATTTATTATTGGAGCTTCTGAGGTTTTGCCTAAATATATAGAACATCAGTTTATATTAAGTCCTAATCAGGCAACTACACTTTCAGGTAACTTTTCTACTCCTTGAACTCATTTTGAAATTTTAATGTAAAGTTTTCTTGTATGTATTTTAAAACATTTCAAAAAGGAAAAAGTAGATGAGTAATAGTATTTGCTCAGATGTTAAATACCTAAATATCATTTGCTCAAATTTTAAAAATGAGCACTCTGTCATCATTCTATCAACATTTTAAAATATATTTTATTGATTATGATATTACAGTTGTCCCAAGTTTTTCCCCTTTGGCCCTCTCCACCCAGTTTGCCCCATTCCTTCTAGCAATACCCCCTTAGTTCACATGCATGGGTTCTGCATATAAGATCTTTGGCTACTCCATTTCCTATACTGTACTTTACATCCCCTGTCTATTCTGTACCTACTAATTTAAACTTCTTAATCTCTGCACCTTTTCCTGCATTCTTCCCCTTACCCCTCCCCACTGATAACCCTCCAAATGATCTCCATATCTAGGATTCTACTTCTGTTCTGGTTGCTTGCTCAGTTTGTTTTTTAGATTCAATTATTGATAATTGTGAATTTATTGCCATTTGAATGTTCATAGTTTTGATCTTCTTTTTCTTCAATAAGTTCTTTTAACATTTCATATAATAATAGCTTGATGATGATGAACTCTTTTAGCTTTACCTTGTGTGGGGAGCACTTTATCTGCCCTTCCATTCTAAATAGCAACTTTGCTGTATAGAGTAATTTAGGTTGTAGATCCTTGCTTTTCATCACTCTGAATACTTCTTGCCATTCCCTTCTAGACTGCAAAGTTTCCTTTGACGAATCAGCTGACAGTCGTATGGGAACTCCTTTCTAGGTACCTCTCTTCTCTTGTTACTTTTAATATTCTTTCTTTATCTTTAACCTTTGACATTTTAGTTATGATGTATCTTGGTGTGGTCCTCTTTGTATCCCTCTTATTTGGGACTCTCTGTGCTTCCTGGACTTGTATTTCTATTTCCTTACCCAAATTAGAGAAGTTTTCTTTCAATATTTTTTTCTAATAAGTTTTGAATTATTTGCTCTTTCTTTTCTCCCACTCCTATGATTCGAATATTGGTATGTTTGAAGATGTCCCAGAGGGTCCTTAGCCTGTCCTTGGTTTTTTTTTGTTGTTGTTCTTTTTTCTTCTTGCTGTTCTGATCGAGTGCATTTTTCTCCCTGTGCTCCAAATTGTTGATTTGTTTTTTAGCTTCATCCCCTCCACTGTTGTCTTCCAGTAAATTTTTCTTTATTTCACTTAGTTTAAACTTCGTTTCCAGTTGGTACTTTTTTATGCTGTTGAAGTACCCAATGAGTTCTTTGAGCATCCTTATAACACGTGTTTTTAACTGTGCATCTGATAGATTACCTATCTCCATTTTGTTTAGTTCTTTTTCTGGAGTTTTGTTTTTTTCTTCCATTTTGGCCATATTTCTTTGTCTTTTCATTTTGGCAACCTCCCTGTGTTGTTTCTGTGTATTAAGTAGAGCTGCATTGATTCCCTGTCTTAGTAGCATGGCCTGTTGTAGAAAAACTCACTCATATGTTGGGTGGGGCACAGCCTTGGGTAATTGCCAGGGCAGGGCAACTGGTGTTGCCACTCGTGTCTCTGAGTGTGGGAGGGCTCAGAGAGGGGACAATACTGCTGCCTGGCCTCTGGGGTTTTGTCCAGGAGAAAGCTGTCTCCTGGTACTCACCCTGATGCCAGACACTTCAATTTTTCCTCATATACCACTGGTTCCCTTCCAGCTATTGCCCTGGAGCTAAAACCCAGAGGAAATGAGTCTGTGTAAGTCTTAAGTCTGTTGTAGGCCCTTTAAAAGGAGACTGCTGAGAATCCTACAGTTTCCTCTGCTGCCCAAACCCCCACTGGTTTTTACAGACAGAAGTTATGGGGACTTTTCTTGGCATTGGAACCCTGGGCTAGGTGGTGTGGTGTGGGTCTGGGATTCCTCGCTCCTGAGATATCACTCCCAAATTTTATTCACCAATTGTTAGTGTGGTACTGCCCATTCCTTGTCTCCATGCCTCTCTGCTCTCTCCACATCTCCACCCCTCCTACCTGTGTGGATGTATGTGACTTTTTTAGTTCCTTGGTTGTTGGACTTTCACACAGCTTGATTTTCTAGCAACTCTGGGTGATATTTGTTTTGTACTCTAGTTGTAATTTTTGCTGTGGGTGTGTAAGGAGGTGAACTGTGTTTACCTAGGTCTCTGTCTTGACTGGTATGTGTCAGCATCAATATTTTTTAACTCATAACCTTGTAAGACTTTGTACCCCTCTGTTATCCCATTTCTTTTCTTACCTCCCTCCCTACAGCTAACCACTCTTCTCAAGTTAGACTGCCTCCTTCCCACACATGTTTGTGTGTTTTTAGTGCTTATGTTCCTATCCATACACAATCTAATTCTAAAATTCATTTATCATTTTGTACATATCCTTCTGTTACTTTCATCTGAAATTATGTTCATCAGATTCATGTTGATCTCTATTAATGGATTTAAACTATGGTATAGGATTCCATTTTATGTGCATACCAATGTTTATTTATCTGTTGTCATACTAATGGACATGAAATTGCCTCCAGCTTTTTCTCTATAAATAACAATGCTGATCAGTGACAGGCTGACCAGAATGCTTTATAGGGATGACTTAGTGTCACTGATTGACTCAACTAAAATCAGGGACAAATTTTATACCACTTTTTTTCTTTCTTTTTTTACAAAGATTTTATTTATTTATTTTTAGAGAGGGTAAGAGAGAGAGAAAGAGAAAGAGAGAAACACTGATGTGTGGTTGCATTTTGCACGCCCCCTGCTCTGGGGACCTGGCCTGAAACCCAAGGATGTGCCCTACACTGGGAATTGAACAGGAGACTCTCTGGTTTGCAGGCCTGGTGCTCAATCCACTGAGCCATACCAGTTATGGCTATACTACTTTTTCTAATTGGATTACTCTTATTATAGAGATAACTGCCCTAAGGGTACATATAAGTATTGTGTCAATAATCCCTCTAGAAAGCTCCCCTGATTAACCAAGAGTAACTCCATTTTAGAGAGATTTCCACAGTCTTTTGAGGACTATTTGATCTATTAGAGGTGTTTCTTTAAACACTTGAAAAATCTCTTATGAACTTGACTATGACTTAAATATTACCATTTCCAGTTGACAAATATGTCTTGTCAAATAGTTTGCCATGAATCTGAGTTGGTCCTTCCCAAAATGAGAATATCAAAGCCTCCATTGTTCAGGGCTTGGCTTTTGACTGCGAACCAGTAGTAAACTAAGAGCCTTTTTTCAAATGTAGCTGTTTCAGGGAGTAAATGAGTCCCATACCTGAAGGGATACTTTTGCGAAGAGACTGCTTCCCTCTTCCAGAGGCTAACACATACAAAATCACCAGTCATGGAGACTTGTAGCTCAGACAGGTCATTAGATTTGTGCTACCTCAAAGTAGGGCATGTGCCAAAGCTTCCTTATTAGCTTCCATTGTAGGCCTGCAGATGACACTTCCTGTGGGTTAGCTGATATAAAAGACCAAACAGAATGCCCAAATGAGTCATCTGTGTCTCCAGTACTCAGTCCAAAGTGTCATTAGGCTGCTTTTGGTTGGCAGGAAGGGAGACAACTATTTTTCCTTAACTGCCAGAGGGTTTGGGTACTGTGAATATCTTCTTGATTTTGTTAGGCTTTATCAGTCACTCTTGCTGATGAAAGTGTGATAACATCAAAGTTATAGCCATTGAGCCTGCAGCTTCTGACCCTTCAACCAAGCTGAATATCATGTATCCGTGAAAGTTTTGGACATCAGAGGATAGTAGTAGTCGCAATAAGTGCCTACCTATCTGCTTGTAATAAATGGCCTAGGAGTTGAGGTACCCCTGAGGGAGTACTGCAAATGCATATTTGCCGCCTTGCAGCATGAGTAAGAATTGCTCTTTGTCTTTGGGTGCTAATGAGATAGAAAATAAGGATCTGGCAATGTTCAGGATAGCATATCAATTACTATCAGTCTGGGCCATAAATTTCATTACAGCCCACTGACAGCCCAGCTATTGCCATTTCACCTTAACAAACAACTATGCACTCCATTCTATCGTCATCCAAATAAATCAGTTAAACTTCTAATTATTCACTGGTTTCTGTCCATAGTGGTCATAAATTTATAGTTGCCCATCTCTGCAACTGTTGGCTGAAGTCAGGAGGAATTGTCTGACCAACCAGTATGTATCCTAGTAATAGTTTTTGCAATGGGGCAAGTCAGAGGCTGATGGTCAGATTTGTGAGGAAGTTCTTTTGCCTGGAGGAGAGTTAACATCTACCATGGCACCTGCTCTGGTGCTGTGTCTAAGTCTGCTTCAGCATGCAGCCACCTCTCCAGTTCATCATTAATAGGCAATAATCAGCATGTTCAGTTTGCAAGTACTTTTGTCAAATCCTGTTACTTGGTTCATGAGGTTATCAATCTTCACCCCTTATAAAGCCATGTCTCTGTCACCACAAGTGCTAAGATCTGTGAAGTGTTTGAATTGTACTCTGTTTGAAAGCTAACAAGTTATTCTAATGTACAATAGTTTCAGCAATGATAGCAAAAGACATAAAACTCCTTGAAGGAAAGATGAAGGAAAGATTGTGACTCACAGCAATAGCAGTAGCTAGAGTATCTGTATCTGTATGTGTGCACGTGTGTGTGTGTGTGTGTGTGTGTGTGTGTGTGTGAGAGTGAGAGAGAGAGAGAGAGAGAGAGAGAGAGAGTTTTCAGAATCCCAGTCCCACAGGATGATGTGAAGGAGAGCCAGTGGCATCTGCACACACAATGGGTGGCATTATAGGAATGGATTACATTACATTCCCTGAGTTTAGGGGACCCAAATCTGTAACAATGCAGAGGGGATTCTATCTCTGTCTTTCAAAACTATGTACAAACCTACCCTCCCTCTCAAGAAGGACACTCTCTCTATCATCCAAGGCTGTTCACTACACAAAGATCCTTCCAAAAGGACAACAAAGAGTAGTCAGGGCTTCCGCTTGCAGGATATACAGCATCAGAGGGTAGTGGACAACTGTTGCTCAATAAATAGAGTAGTAATTATGTATATATAAATAAAGATTGATGATTGAGGGGGGAAATCCATTACATTACTTACAATTTTACTTAAAAGAGACACTCCTTAAATATGAGGACATGAAGGGGTTGAAAGTCAAAGGATGGAAAAAGTTGTGTTATATGAACTCTAACCAAAATGAAAGGTGGTGTAACTATAATAATTTTAAATATATTATCTTTCAAAGCAAGAAGCATTACTTAGTATAAAAAGAAATAATTTGAAATGTCAGAAGAGTCAACTAGTGAGGTAGGTAATATAGTTATACATATGCATGCCCTCAACAATATGATGTGAAATTATATAACAAAAATTGAGTTAATTAGATATTAGTGATATTAGGTCAATTAGATATTCTTATGAGAAAAGATAAATCTTGATCTTTTCTTCACTACATACACAAATACAAATTCTAGATGGATTGTAGATCTAAATGTGAATGATAAAACAATAAAGCTTTTCAGAATAAGGCATAGGAAAAGATCTTCATAGCTTTAGAAAAGACAAAGATTTTTAAAAATAGGATATAACTCACATAACCATAAAGAAAAATAAATGGTTTTACATTAAAATTAAGAATTTCAGCTCATCAAATGTCCACATAAAGAGTGAAAATGAAAACAAGACAATTTTTTAATAGAAATATTCTAAAAGGATTTATGTGCAAATGTATAAAAATAAAAATATTTGACAATAATAAAAAGGTAAATAATCCAATAAAAGTGGACAAAAGACTTGAACAAGCATTCTATAAAAGATGCTATCAATCATCCAGTATTCATATGAAAATATGCTTACCTTCAGTGGTTTTTGGAGAAATGCCACATTGTAATACTATTATTATCCATTGACCAGAATGGCTAAGATGAAAAGGAGAGGTAGATGTTCGCATGAATGTAGAGCTACTTGCATTTTTTTCTACTACTGGTGAGAGTTTAAATTGGTTTACCATTTTATAAATCTGTTTGGCAGTATCATGAAATTCTGAATATATACATATCCCCTGACCCAGAAATTTTGCTCCTAGTCACATACCTGACATAAGTTCTTCTCTTCAGAACATGCCCAACATAAATGCACATGTTTATAAAAGGACATGCACGTAAGTTTTTAAAATAGCAGAATTCACAACATCACAGTACCATATCATAACATAAGTTGTGCCATATGCATATACATTGCTGTTCAGCAATGATAAGACATGATCTATTGTTATATACAAAAGCATGGGTGGATTTTTCAAACATGATATTGAACAGAAGAAGCCATAATGTATGCATGCTTTATGGTCCATATTTTATAAAATTCTGTAAGCGCATGAAAGAACCTGTGTGTCTTCCAGTAATGTTAAGTTTTTGACCTGAATGGTGGTTACATATGTTATGTTCCCTTTGAAAATTCATCGATAGGTACAACTGTGTACTTTTTGCTACAGTGATAAAGCATTTATTATACATAAAAATTGACTAAAAGTTCTATGCATTGCAGTTGAATTTTCAACTGTTTTGTTTCCTTTTAGGGTGGTCTTTCAAGAACCCAGGCATTTAATTGTTGACTCCCCAGCATCCAGTATTTTCTTATTGCTTAAGGCAGTGATTTCCACCTTTTTCATCCCATGGTACACATAAGTTAATTACTAAAATTCTGTGGCACACTAAAATATTTATTATATTTTTGCCAATCTGATAAAAAATAGGTTTAATTTTGATTCATTCACAATTGATGGCTGTTGTGTTGACTGTTGTCATTTTTTTTTTTAATTTGACAATGTAAGGGAAAAGGGGTCAATGCCCCTAACTAAATAGTAAGGTATTGCATGTTTTAAAAATTTGTGCAGCCCACTAGTGTGCTTTGGCATACTGGTTGAAAATCCCTGGCCTAGGGCAATAAGCCTGACAGCAAATGTTTTCATGCCTGAGTTGTGTTCTCAGTTTTCTGCCTACAGATGTGATTGGCTTTCCCAAATCTACAGTTGTCAAGTTCATATTGAATAAATCTAGGCTATTCTTCTTGGTCAATCATAGGGCATGTAGGTCAAAATAGGAATTTTGAGGATCAAACATTTTATATAGACTGCCATCCAGTCCTCTTGTTTTTAACTCTATCTCACTATATTTCTGTTGGTACCTACTGTGCTTAACTTTTGTAAATCTGAGGTAAAACATGGCTTGCTTCTTCTTGACTTCCTTACCGGTAAGCTTATTGCTTACCCTATGAAGTCTCCTGATCCAGTTACAATTCTCATAATTTTCTTGATAAATATTGCTCCTTCTTTGTACTTTTTGCTTTCTAATAAATGAATTTGTCTATAAATTTCTACCTTTTAACAAGCATTCATGTTTACTCTGCAACTAGATACTATTCTAAGCACTTAAATATAAACTCATTTAATTCTCATAACAACTGTATAATGGAAACTGTATATAGATTTTCTTCAGTAGTATTTCATACATTTAGATATAATTTTATTGTTCAGTTCTAACTATTTTTAATTTTTGTCACCACCTTTTTATTTTATCCATGAATTACAGAGAATTTTAGTTGCTAAATGTATGCTTTTATCTTTTAAAATAACATTGTTCAAATCAATTAATATTTTAAATATCTTGAATAGCATTATAAGGTACTTCTGTTTTGAGGAAGCTGAGTTAAAATAATACTTTGTTCATGGATTTTTAATTTTTTAAAAATCTTGGCAGTTAAATAATTTATTTTACACAATGCCATGATCTATTTTTATGGTACATATTTTTTCACTACTTTAATTTCAAACTTTACCTTTTAAAAATATCAAATTTGATGTTTTCTAATAGTTTAATTTTATTTATTTAGTATTATTGTGAATTTTAATTTAAGTAATTTTAACTTATTAGAATTTTTTGTTTATTACTCTTATATTTTTCTTTTTTTATTCCTTACTATCTTGTCTACTTTCAATGGACTTGTTTTTTATTCATTATATTTCCCTTGTTTTGTTTAGGAAATTTTAACTACCCACTGAGAGTTCACTGCCCTGAATTTTCAGGACCATGTGTGTGTATGTGCATATGTGTTTGGCCTAAGTTATTAATTTTATCTTTTTAAAAACTAGCTATAATTAAAATTATTTATAAGTAACATGCTCATTGGCAGCCCTAATAGTTTTTGCTTTAGTCTTGATGTTATGCATTTCCCTAGTTTATTTCCTTATTTGGAAGATGGATGTAATTATTTAATTTTTAGTCCTCAGTAGTTGAAGTGTACTTTTTCTTCCCAGGACTAATATTTCTTTAATTATGGAACAATCCTCATTCTCAGTTACAATTTTCAGATATTGTTTTTCTGGTATACTGTTTATGATATTTTTCACAACTGCTGTAAAATATTTTGTAGAGCTTCTTATCCTTTTATCACTGTCTTTTAAAACAAAGTTTATTGTTTGAATCATTTTATATTTACAGAAAAAATGGAAGGTAATGCTAGAGTTTCTATATATGTATACCTAGGTTCCATCTTGTTAATGTCTTAAATCAGTATGATAGATTGGTTAGAATTAATGAAACAATAACGCTTTTTAAAAAATTACATACTGGATGAATGACACAATACCTTCTAATTTATTAATTGAGTTTTTAGATGTCTCTAGTCTGGAATTTTAGTTTTATTTTAACACTTATAATTTTAAATATCTAGGTTTCTTTTTTGTTTTTTCTTAATCCACTTGCTCTTTTCATTACTTTCTCTTATTATTTTATTTTTATTTTATGGAAGTTACACTGTCATTAATCTTTTGGAGCATTCTAAAATTATTTACAAGTCTGTCAGACAATTCTATGACATAAATTTAATCTGGTGTTAATGGGATTTTTGTTTGTTTTTACCTTATATTCCCCTTCCTATTTTTCTACTTAAATCTACCATTTCTGTATGTTTGGGGCAGAGGAGATTATATCAATGTAAATTACTATAATATCTTCATCTGATTGATTATTTTCTAACTATATTTCTTCCTCTCCTCCTCCTCTTTTCTTTTCTTGTGCTTACTTCTTTGTAACCTTTTAGGCTTCATAGAAAAGAAAACTGTACCTCATAATGGCTAGTCTGGAGTCCCACTTCATTGTGAGGTTGTTGATATTGCACATGTATTCACAGAAGCAGTGGGTGACTTGGTTTAATTCATGGTAACGAATCTCTGTTTGTATACTCTTGTCACTATGAGCATGCCTCTTCCTATAAACCATTAATATGGGGAGCTATCTAATAATAGCTCTCAGTAAGACAGTTCTCATATTCTAGTTTGTATGGATTAAGTTTTGGGTTTATCTTAGATGTCATTACTACATAAAAGCAAAATTTACCCCCACTCACAAATTTGTTTTAATTGTAAGGTTTAGATTTGTTGAGTTGTTTACTATGCCTTTAAATTTTCTCTCCTTCTTTTTATTTAAATTTATGTTTGCTATTGTTTAGAGCAGAGGGGATTGCATCAATGTATGGATTTTCTGTACTATCTTTAGTTGATTATTTTTCATTGTGTTTTCTCTTCCTCCATTTTTTTTTAGGACTTGTTATAATTCCAGGAGCTGCACTTGGCCAGCTTCTGGGAGGTGCCATTGTTTCCAAGTTACATATGTATTGTAAAGGCTTTATGAGATTTATAATGGTTACATCTGCTATATCACTTGTACTGGTTGTGTTTGCCATTTTTGTACACTGTAATCCAATACGATTTGCTGGAATCAATGAAGACTATGGCGGGTAAATAGAACTTTGTATATTACATATTTATCTACAAACCCAACAATGTGTTTATTAGTCAATTAATGATTATTTATGCAGTAACGTTTATGTCTTTATCATTCTTGGAATTATTGAACATATAAAAGAAATATAAAGCATAGTTTCATCTTTCACATTAAGGACATAAATATAATAATGATAGCTGTTATATGATTGCTTATGCAGTCATAAAGTACTAAAGAAAAAACACATTAAAATGATTAGAGCTTAGAAGTATAATTCTGTACTAAAGTGGCTAGTAACACGGAGACAGTACTGTCTGTACAAGGCAAGTTTTACTTTGTGTTCCTGAAATGGTATGTCTGCCTTCTTAAAGACTTATCACTTAACGTCTGAAAGACATTAAAGAATGGAACTGAAGTACATCTGAAAGTATGCATGAGTAATATCTCATTTAAGCTAAAATGCAAAGTTCAAAGAACTGGGCAGAGATTGATATTAAATACAGGGGAACAGAACTGGAATTGTAAAACAAGTAAAGAAATTTCACTTCAAGTTACAATGGAGTAGCTTATGGCAGACCAGCACTTCCACTGAGAATAACTAGAAAAGCAGAATAGAGTTTTGAAAGATTTCTTTAAAGGCTGCTTAGACAACTAGGAATTTAAAAGTTAAAATGCCAAGAAAGGCAAACTTTTGAGAGGAGATAGCTTCCCACCCTTCCCCCCTCCACTGAGGATATTTGCTAATTCTGGACATTGGCAAGAAGCTGAGAGTTTGAACAAAGGATCTGGGCTAAAAAACATCTAGTAAGATGACAAGAAACCTCTAGTAAGATGACAAGATGTCAAACAAATTTTTGACAGACTTATGAGTTTAAAGAGATAAAAATTAGAGAGTGGGGCAAGGCAGAATATCAGAAAAAGAGGTAGGTAAATGAGATAACACTCTGTTGGGTTTTTACTCAATACATTTGCTGAATTAGGAAGCTAAGAGGCTGAAATCAAGCAGAACCTGGTAAAAAGCAGAGAAAGTTTTCAGCAGTATTGTGATGGTCTTTCCATAAGAGATTAATGTGTTGGGGAGGTTAGAATGTGCTAGGGAGAGGGACTTTGGTGAACATATGTTGTCAATATGTCTGAAAGGCTAAGTATGACCTGGGAGTCAGGGCTTTTCTAAAGTGCTATGGCCTAACCAGAAGTTAATTTTTTTTTTTTAGTTGGATTGGTGTGATTGGCCTGCACTCTAGAAGCAGAAGGAGACACCCAGCATTCTGAACAAAACATAATACATAGAGCTATAAATTGTCATTTATATTTAATGCAAAGATTTACATTAAAACAAATTTACCAGGCAGGCCAAGGACATGGCCAAAAAACTATGGGGCAAAACAGATTAAATTCACAGGAGATCCAGATATTGAGTAACATGGATTTGCACTCGTGGGTCCACTGAATGTATACTTTTGTCAAAAAATATACAGTCAGCACTTTGTGTCTCTGGATTTCATACCCGCAGATTCCCCACTGTGAATGGAAAATAGTATTTTTGATCCACAGTTGGGGATCCACATATATGAAAGGTCAAATTAAGTTATATGTAGATTTTCAACTGTGTGGGTTGGAGCCCCTAACCACTCCACCTTGTGTTGTTCTAGGGTGAACTGTGTGTGTGTATTATGTATGTATGTAGTTGAGCTACATGCATGTATACCTATCGATTTTTACCTATACTGCTACCTATTTTTCTATGGTCTGCAAACTAAAGAGTGATTTTAGTATTAGTATGGGTTGTGAAAAACAATAAAGAATAGCACTTCTAGTTTGTGTTTTAATATTCAGGGAGCTTATAGTCATGACTTCTCACAATAAGAAAAAAAGTTGAACAAGTTACAGATTAATAATTCTTAGATTCTTCAGAGACTTGAGATCACAGGACAAACTGCTGCCCCCAAAACTGGAGAGATAGGTAAATAGAGACAACTACAATTTACTGGGAGCAGAAGGTGTCAGTGCTAAACATTGAATAGTATTTGAATATTTTTGCATGTGGAGCCTGGGCTAACTTGAGAGTTTAAAACTCCTGGACATGCAGTCTTAGGGAGAAATCCTCTCTCCTTTAAGGGCTCTTACCTCTCGGTGCCCCCACCAGGTTATCACAAGAAGAAAAATCCTCCTATGTTTTGGGCAGGGGGAGAGGGAAGGTAACTATTTTGAAATATGCCCTAGAGAAGTTTATTCCATATAAAAAAAACCTGCCTTTCAGGGAAACTACCAGAATTTCTCCTAACAAACTTTATCACAGGAGGCAATTAGACAAGTGAATCCTTATCTAACCTTCTTGTCTCACATAAGGGAAAGAAAAAGAGAAAACCGAGGTAAAACTTACGAAGGCCACAGTCTAGAGACTCAGGCCCATGAAAAAAACACCTTGTAAAGTCTAAGATTTCATTATAAGATTATAGAATCCTTCTTCCATACAATACCACCACATATCTTGTGTAATGTATCTTGTATAAGATAATTACAACTGAAAGGGCTACAAGACACACTCTATTTGATAAAGAGTTTCTAAGGAAACTCAAAGACAATAGGGAAGCCAAAATGAGGATACCACAGAAAGTTGAGGCCTCTGATAACTACAGTTACAACAAACTTTAAGCATATCCTAATCCTGGACAGATAATCATAGAACCTTACAAAAAATGCCTGTCTACCTTATTTCTTATTACGTGGTACACTTATTAAAACACTACTAAGGCATTTTAAGGCATTCTAAGAGTCAAGAAGAAACACGGACTGAAAAGACAAAACAAGCATCAAAACCAAGTCAGTTATGGCAGATATTTTGGAATGATTTGACTTAACATAACTATGAGTAATATGCTAAGGGTTCTAATGGAAAAAGTGAGCAGACAAATGGAAACTCTAAGAAAAAAAATCAAAGTAATCCTAGAAAGCAAAAACACTAAATACTATAAAAAAATGAAGAGTCCTTTTCTTGGGCTCATCAGTGGAGTGGACATGACTAGCAAAATAGCAATGACTTTTAAGATACGTTCATAGAAACTTCTCAAACTGAAGAAGAGAATAAAAGAATAAAAAAACCCTGAAACAGAATATCCAAGAACTGTGCAGCAATTTCAAAGGTTTAACAAATATGTGAATGAAACACCAGAAGGAGAAGGAAAAAAAGGAAATAATGGCTGAAACAGTTTCAAAATTAATGATAGATACCAAACCACAGATCCTGGAAGATTAGAAAACACCAAAAGGTAAAAATATCAAAATAATTTACACCTACACATATCATATTTAAACTGAAGAATCAAAAAACACAGGCAAAGTCTTGAAAGAAGACAGAAGAAATAAAAACTTACCTATAGAGGATTAAGGATGATTTATAACAGACTTTACAAATCATGCAAACAAGATGAGAGTGGAATGAAATTATTAAATAGTTGGGATAAAAAACCCTTCAACCTAGGATGCAATGAAACCATTCTTCAAAAATGAAGGAGAAATAAAAATATTCTCAGGCAAATAAAAAATAATGGAATTGTCACTGGTAAACCTGCTATGCAAGAAATTTTTAAAGTTCTTCAGAAAAAAGGAATATGATATAAGTCAGAAATTTGGATCCACATACAGAAATAAAGAGCAAAGAACATTAGAGATACATGAAGGTAAATTATGATCTTTTATTATTCTTATTTTTAGTTTATGTAATGGATAACTCTTTGTTCAAAAATAATAATAGCAATAAGGTGTTTAGTGATGATAGTTATGGATAATGAAATGAGTGACAGCAACCTTATGAAAGCGGTGGAGGAATTGGGAATACTCTAGGACACCTGCAGTCCCCATAAAGTGGAGTAGTGTTTCTTGAAAATAGTTTTAAATTACTTGTAAATATATAATGGGAACTCTAGGGAAACCACTCAAACATTTTTTAAAAATAAATATAATTTCTATGCTAACATAGAAGAAAAGATGGAATCTTATAAAATACTGCATTAAAACACAAGAAGGAAGCAAAAGAGGGAAAGATGGAAGCATGAAAGAAAGCAAGAAAGGACGAAAAACCAATTTGATGACATATAATTCTTCATAACAGTTTCTTATAAACTTTGTCTTTTGGCTGTATCAGTTGCTCTCAGTCTTCTCTTCATTTAATTTCTTTTTTTTTTAACTTTATTTGTATTTTTGACACTATTACAGATGTTTCCATTTCCCCTATTCACTCTTCCCTTGGCTCACCTCCACACAGCCTCCCCATTTTTTTCTTGGCAAGTCTAGCTAAAGGTGCGTCTATTTCACTTACCATTTCAAAAAAACAAGCTTTTAGTTTTATTGATCTTTTCTATTTTATTAGTCTCTATTTCACTCATATTTACTGTGATCTTTATTTTCTTCTACTAGCTTTTGGTTTAGTTTTTTCTTTTTCTAGTTCTTTGAGATGTAAAGTTAGGTTGTTTGTTTGAGATCTGTCTTTCTTCTTAATGTAAGCATTTATTGTTATGAACTTGTCTCTTAGAATTACCTTTGCTGCATCCCATAGTTTTTGGTACATTATATTTTCATTTTTATTTATCTCAAGGTTTTAAAAAATTTTTCTCTATGACTCATTGGTTGTTTAGTAGCATGTTGTTTAATTTTCACATATTTGTGAATTTTTTTATTTTTCTTATAATTAATTGATTTCTAATTTCATACCATTGTGGTCGGAAAAAATGTTTGATACGATTCTAATCTTAAATTTGTCAAGGCTTGTTTTGTAGTCTAACGTATTATCTATCCTGGAGACTGTTTCATGTACACTTGAGAAGAATATATATTTTGCTCTTGTTGGAAGAAATTTACTATGAATGTTTGTTAAGTCCATTTAGTATAATGTGGTTTAAGTTCAATAGTTTTTAAAATAGATTTTATAAATTTTTATCGATAATTTATTCATTGTTGAAATTGGGGTACTGAAGTTTTCTAGTATTATTGTGTTACTTTTTATTTATCTCTTAA